TCCGCATTCAGCTTCTTTCTTACAAGGTGGTATATATAGAGGAACAACTTTGAGAATTCAAGGGAAAGGATCAAATGATATTGGAATATCTCGTGATGTTTCCGGAGATGATACTCTAGAAAAGTCAACAAATCATGTTACTCCCGGTGAAAGTCCCGACCAAGGTGCAACATCTTCTGATGATCCTATCAATGGGAAACAAAAAGGGAAGAGGATCGATCAGAAAAGAAAGATTTCAATCAAAAGATCTCAAGTTCAAAGAACATCTTCAACTTCTTCGAGAATAAGTTTAAGTAAAAGTTTAAAAGATTTCGCTTCTTCCTTTCGACGTAAAACTTCAAAACATGATGTTCAACTTGATAAAATCGATAAAGATAAAGAAGGTTTACGTAGATCTTTATTCGGAACCACACGGTCGGCAACAGTACCACATTCCACACCACTATCTTCTCTTTCAGAAACCGCACAGCCCATCAAGTCCACTCAGACAGGTGGGAAACATGACCTAATGACTTTACACCCAAGTACAGCTAGTAGTCATACACCTACGGAATACACTTCGGACTTTGGAGAATTCATCAAAGTACCTTCTTCTCCTCCTAGACCGGATGAGACGACAGTGACAGAATGGGAGTATAGAGGGGAAGGGAAAGCACATATCATCTTTGGTTATGTTGGTTTGAACACTTTTTACAGAGGGAAAGCAATCAGAATCAAGAAACAACTCAATGAAAAGGAAGAGGAAGTGGAGAAAGTTTGGAAAAAGGAATTGAGAAGGTTGATAGATCCTCAATATCTGTTGAGAGAAAAGAAAGTGGTCGTGAGGAGAGAATGGGTCAAAGATGTGTTGAAAAGAGCAGAGGGAAGGTCAGAGAAGAGAAAAGCCGAGTGGGATGGGGGAGTTTTCGAGGTGAACAAGGAAGGAGAGATGGAAGTTGATTTGGTCGATGATCTCAGAACTGGGGTTGGGGAGGTGGAACAAGGGGAGAAAGTGGTTGTTATAGAGATCAAGGTGTGTTTATATTTGCTGCCCATCTCGGCATTTCTGTCTTACCATACTATCCACCTTGACACAAGCGCTATCTAACATCCCTCTACCATATTGTATCCTTCAGTGTGACTATCACCTTTTGCCCTTAGTTACATTCCACCCGCCATTCCTCCGTCCCTTTCAGAAGTCACCATCTCTTTTCCACTTTATTCTTGGGACTACCCCACTCACCTATCCTCCTCTCCTATGCCTTTTATCCTCTTTGACTCCCTTTGTGACCTCCACCTACACCTCCATTCTTTCTTTTTGCGCTCACTTTGCGTCCCGTCGATCATCACCCACCTTGGTTTGGGACCTTTTTCACCCCCGCTCGGAATGATCCAAAATGGCAGTAGCGGCCATACCACTGAGTTCCTCCACTGACTCATAGCCAAAATGGGGTTTCCTTCCAAACCCTCAACACATTCATCCAGCTGAAGCAGCACCTATCAAAAGTCAAAATTGTCGTTTTTGCATGCACCAATACCTCCGAGATCCTACTCTCATTCATCAAGGACGATATTGTCCCATAGACCTGTTTTCCGGGGATGAAGTGAAGATGCAAAAAGCTCTTGAGGGTCTGGTGAAGTTATGGAAATCGACTGGCGGGGTAGGGAATAATTGGAGGATGTTTGTTGGACAGGAAATCATCAATCCAGGTGATGTGAGTGACATTTCACTTTTCACCCTCTTCCCCAGTCTCAAAGTCTCTCTCTACGTTGATACTTTTGCAGCTTGTCATAATGCGAAAAGTCGCTTACCATCATATAGCTGTCCAAACTCGTATCCAACACTCCTGAATCACTTTTACCCCACATAACCCGACTTCTCAAATCTACCGAAGTCCTAAACCTCCTGAAATCACTTCAGATGGCATTCGACCCCACGGACATTTCCGCCCTTGCCCAGCAGTACCGTATCGAGTTCCCAGAGTCAGAGCTGTTCGACCCTTCTAACATCCCCGATCCTACAGCGGAAGAAATCAAAGATCTGGTTGATCTACTCCTGTCCGATCCATCGCGGCGACTACATGCACCACAATCTACAGACTCACCAAGTCCTCCGACTACCTTGCGTACTCCGGCAATAGTAGCGCCAATACATGAGAAATGGACTTTCAGACAAAGATGTGTAGCATATGGTCTTTCGGCAATTTTCAAAGATTGTTCAATATTCCTAACCCTCCATCTGAGTCCAAACCTTTCGAAACCTACCATATCTCATAGTCCTTCCAAATCCCATCTAGTTGATAATCCTCAATCGGATGGATCTGAAACATGGAGTTTGGTAGAAGATAAGTCGTCTCTCAAAATCATTGACCTTGATCTTAAGCCTTTATCATTGAAGAAATGGTATGATCTTGATCATTCCATTTGGTCAAATTGGTGTGATCATCCTCCCAGTATCACGGACGATCTTGATCCTTCCAGTGTCATGGATGAAAGTGACATATCGAGAACCCCAAGGGCCAAGACGACCTCACTTCCTTCGACCGCATTGGATAATTCATCAACGAGAGCTTTGTACGTTCCTACACCTGAAGGAAGCGTATGGGCAGCTTCGATCTTGACTCCGAAAGAAGAGAAAGGGGGTTTGGATGATATGATTTCTGGTTCGAGAATGAAACATTTGTCTATGGACGATACCACTTCGACCAGAAACCCGGCTTCAAACAACATCACGTCTACCTCTGCACCGGATAGAATATTAGCTTTGATAGATTCCGAGACCCAACCGAAGGTAAGACCATCGGATATGGATATATCTCTAGACGATCAAAGATTAATGTCGTTGGAAATACCTAAAGAAAGAGAGAAAGAGAAAGAAGAGATATTGGATAGTCCAGGAATTTCACCTAGTGTAGCTACGTTCGGACATAGGTTAAGTAAGACGGATGATGAAGCTTTGGGTGGTGGTATGGAGTTTGTCGAAAAAGTTGAAGTCAATCAGCCAGAAAACAAAGTGATGGACAATACGAAAGACGTTCAACCACCTGTCAATCCTATTCTGAGCAATGAGGGGATCCAGTCGATCGTGCGGGAAGGACCGAACTATCAAGAGACAGATCCAAACCAACAGCTTGTCGCTTCTCATCACATTGACAAGGCGAGGAAGTCAATCGTACAGGAAGAACCCGGTCATCAAGAGACAAATCCCATTCAACAACTTGCCGTACAGACTGAGGAGAAAGCCGAGAAAGCCGGTCCGGTTCAATCGTTGCAAACATTCGTCCGACCCGTACCGAGATCAGATCAAAGTTCATCACTGAATCAACCTGAACAACCCGAACAGAGTCTGAACCAAATCCCATTACTCGATCGACCTGCACAACTTGAACAGGACCTAGACCAAAACCCATCACTCGCCCAACACAAAAACCCTGTACAGCCTGAACAGGACCTAGACCAAATCTCATCACTCGCTCAACCTGAAGCACACCTGGATGAAGCAGACGAAGAGGAACAAGAAGATGAGCAATCTCTCCGTTCTCGTCGGTCTAGATCTTTGGCTCCTTCCCCTTCCCCTGCTCCACTACCGGTCGAGGCGGCGGAAATCTTACTTCCCCGGGTGGAAGTAGAGGAGGCTGTTCCGATCCCTCGTGTTGAAATGAAAGAAGCTGTCCCTGAACCCGGAGTGGAAGACAACGTTTCTTCTCCTGGGTTGAATATGGAGGAAGGTGTTCCTGCTCCTCGGGTGGAAGTTCCTCAACAAGATCTTCTGCCTCAAGTCGAAATTATGGAAGATATCCCGGATGAAGTCGTAGGGAATCCCGATGGAGTTTTCAGATATTCTACCTCCGACAAACCCACTGAACCTGAGGACTCTGAGGATGTTCAAGAATCGTTGAGCTTGGTTCCGGAGACAGATGAAAATCAAATCGAACATCACCCTTCTCTTTCTCAATCCAAGACCGACCACAAGCAAAACCACCTTCATCCAACACATATAAACCTCTCTGATATCCTACATCCTCATCATGATCACCCAATTCATCCAAACGTTTCTCACCATTACAACAAAGCTGTTGAAGCCACACCGTTCGAACCCATCAATGCAGATGACGAATATGAACATGGATATGAGGATGAAAACGATCCTCGATCCGATCAGACTTTTGGTGAATTGGACAGAATGAGGACACCATCACCGATACCTCCTGTTCCTCTCGATAGCGTGTTGGATGAGTTAGAGGCTATCGAGGCGTCAGCTGCCATGACAACTGTTCCTCTTGTTATCGAGAATTCGCCGTTCGTCCCTCCTGTTCATCTTGATAGCGAGTTGAACGAGTTGGGAGCTACTGGAAATTCGTCATCCAAAATTCCTGTCTCTCCGGAGAACGAGCCTGCGTTACCCACACTTCCTGTTCGTCTTGATAGCGAGTTCAACGAGTCGGGAGCCATCGTCGCCTCATCAAGCATACCTCCAGTTCCTCTTCAGAACGTGTCGGACGAGATGGAAGTAATTCCCACTTCGTCACCCGGGAGTGAAGCACGTGTTCACTCTTCTCATTCGGCTGGGAAAGACAGTTTGAGCCATGTACCAGCTTCAGAAGCAGTTCCTCAACCTGCAACAGCCGTCATTGGGCCACACAATGAGTCCGGGAAGATGGAGGGAGAGCAACGGGATAGAGTAGTGCCAGGGGTCAAAGAGGTCAATGAAGAAGTAGATCACGAGGCGGACAAGGTGCTGGACAAAGAGGAGCTGGTGGGTGGAGCAGTCAACGTAGAGGCGCAAGAGGAAGCGATAGGCGTGATGGGGGAAGATGCTCCACAGGTCGAAGTGCCCACCTCGGAAAAGGCCGACAGCGAACACGACACACCCGAGGAGAATCCTCATAGAAGTGTCGAGGAGACGGTGGTGCAGCCGGTCGAAACCAAGGTCACGAATATTATGGATGAAAACAGAGAGCCTGGGCGGGAAGCAGAGACAGGAACTGGGGAGAAATCTGCACCAGTACCGGACGTCGAGGGAGTGCATGAAGTGCAACAAACGCATCCGCAAACTTTCGAGGTCCAAGCACAACCTGCACTGAAGGGAGAGGAGGGTGAAGGTGGAGAGTTTAGTCCCTCGCAACAGGGGGAAAGTCAGGTGGAGGAGCAGCATGCGGCAGGTGAGTCGCAAATAGTACAGGAGAGACCATTGCTAATCAGAAGTTGCTCCTACTCCGGCGTCAAGGGACATCATGATCGAGGCTACACCCCAGCCCAGTAACTCCTCACTAATCGAAAAAGCGTCCGATCTGGTTGAAACTCCTATCGAGAACGTATCTGATCCCTCTGAACCCGCTCATGTCAATGTCGTTGCCAGTACCCCCGAACCCAGTGATCCCGCGCCTGTCGTGGAGGGACCCATCACCCCCAGACCTCCCTCTATCCAGATCGATCCGTCTACTGAGATCATAACGAGTCCCAATAGTTCATCTGCCACGGAGCTCAATATCGATAATGTCATTCCTTGTACCGAAGCCTCACCTCCGTCAGCCGATGAAGATTCTTCTCTCCTCTCCCGAACCGCAGAGGTCATCTCGGGTATCCCACTCGTCGGAGCTGCTTTGAGTACCGCCCTCACCCACTCAACCGAGGAAGAAACGCACGAAAGCGATGTCGTCGGAAATCCGAATGCTGCAAAGTCGAGTTCCAATACTGAAACTCAGTCCAACGAGCCAGTTGAGACATCGGCCAGTGCTCAGGTCGGAAAGGACGAAGGGCAGTTTGAAACTCATGATGACATCGTCACGGGATCGTCGGTCCACGTAGGAGAGCTTGAACTTACCGATCTCCCTGCCACGGAAGCATTGGTACATGCAGATCCGCTCGAAACTTCCGATATCATGTCCACGGAACCGCCGATGGATCGTGAGACAAAGCTTCAAACGGATGAAGTTGAGCATCGTGGGCTAGACAAGGAGGATGGAACGGGACTGGTTCGTGCGGCGGATGTGGCAGAACATCAAGAAGACGGCGAAGTCGCATCGGAAGATGTTCACGAACGTCCTCAGAACATTCCACTCTCTCACGTCCCGATAAGTGAGCCGGTCAAAGATGTAAACCTGGCCCGATCCGTCACATCAACTCCACAAGATGTAACTTCGACTGTACCCGTCGTATCATCTCTTTCGGCCGAACAGGAAGCTCCCCTTCCAGCTCTTTCGGACTCTCAACCTGCTGTGCCCGTCTCCAACGAAGTGGCAGAAGTAGAGCCTGGAGCCTCAGAAGCTGAGAAGATACCAAACGATCTCCTTGATCCTACTCTCGAGCTCACAGAATCGAGATCTTCTTCTGCGAATGTACATGCCGGAGACCAAGAGGAAACTCCCATCTCATCACCTGCCGAGATTCTTCAACCTCCTATGCTGCAACCCCTGGATGAACACCTCGGTGTACAACCTGAACCCACATCATCATCAGCCGGTCGAGACTTTGATGAATCTCAACATGAACATGACAACTCGCAGGAGATCCATCCTACACTCGAACCCGCTCCACAGGTAGTGGAAGTGGAACAAGCTCTCGAAGAACATGCTTGTTTACCCGAATTGGATACTATACCAGAAGTCACCGAATTGTCCGATGTCACAGATCAATCTACTGCGTCTTTACAAACGTTTGTTCAGTACAAAGAACAGTCTGATGTCACACTTCAGTCCGATTACTCGACCCTTCACCCTGGCGTCGACTCTGAGGATGATACGGAAGATGAGGTCACGGTAATTCCTTCTGAAGAGAAGGAAGGGTCGGAGATACCTACGAGTACAGTTCCTGAGGATGTGGAGTCTTCCAGTGCAGCTGGGGATCGTGAGGAGAATTCTGCTTCACATGGTCCCTCTATCCATCAGGTAGGAGACGATGAACAGAAGGATCCGTCAGTCAATGCCGAAATACCTTCTCCTCATGCGGCAGTCACTGAAGTAAATACCAATGTCGAAATACCTTCTCCTCATGCGGCGGAGCCAACACCCGTTGTTCCTTCAATGGAGGTATCATCCGACGATACAGTGGTCAAAGAGGAGGGATCGGTGGCACACGTACCCTCCCCAGCCACCGAGGATCTTGTGCGAAACAAAGAATCTCTCTCGAACGTGTTTCCTACCGACAACACTCCCCTTGAGGAGGTCGAATCTCAACCTCCTGCTCTTGTCAAGGCGGAAGAGGAACCCACTCCGGTCCTCAATATGATCAACGAGCAAGTCATTCATCCCGACCTCGCAATCACACCACAACCCAGACCGGAATTCATTCACCACGCCTCGTCTGGCGAGTTCTTCACACCTATTCAAACTCCCTTTGCCATCAATAGCCCTGGAGAAAACCCATTTGATCAATCTCATCTCGCTGTCGCCTCTTCTACTTCATCTGACCTCTTCTCTCCTCCTAAAGAAGACGAAAACCTCTCGTCGAATAAAGATCAACCGAAGACCGATGAAGTGCTCGACGAAACACAAGAGAAAAAGAAAGATTGAATTCAATTCCATCTTGTTCACAAACTCATCTCGATTTATCTGTCTTTTCTATCTGTTCCATCTGATCATCTTGTGAACTATTGTCAATCTCATTCATACCCATATTTATCTGTTACATATCTAGCATTCATCTGTTCATATTGCATTAGATACCATTACGAGTTTACGAATCGATACGATGAAAGAATGTTTTACGTTTATACAATTAATATAATGCATCGGTTCAGATTTATTTCATTGATTGTTCTAATTTACTGTACTGTGAAGACTTTCCACTCTGACTAAAGTTGCGACATGATTGACATGATTCATGATTGATATAATGATATAGTGGCGCTACTGCAATGTTGTATTGTTGTATTGTAATGTATTCATGAGACATAGGTCGGCAGATGATATAGCAAGACAATGTCGGTTCGATATGATTGAGATTGACTTCGATATTGTTGAGATAATTTCGATTTCGGTTTAAATGAGATGATTTCGGTTTCGTTTAGATGAAATAATTTCGATTCCGGTTTAGAACATTGTGATAAGATAAGGAAGGAAAAGTGACATGTTAAGATGATTTCGTAGGATCAGGGTGGATGATGATGATAAAGGAGATTGTATTGGGGTATTGGGATGATGAAAATCTTTTGATTCGTTGATCAATGATTCGTCTCTTTCGACTAAACGTTCCGTTCGGATTTGAGATTTTGTCATTTGGTTTGACAAAGTATAGTTGTTTGGTATCGTTGTTTTGGTTTATCCAAGTATCGTTGTTTGTTTTGATCCAAGGATCGTTATTTATTTATCAACTGGTAGTTGGTAGTAACGAAATATGGTGTACCTTGGTCTTCCCGGTAGTACCATCTTTGTTGGGTTTTCATATATTCTTCGAAACCAGCTCATTGAGAAGGTCGGTAGTGTTCATATTGTCTCATGTATATCTTAGACTGATTACCATGGACATTTGTATAATCTGATATCAGCTGCTCATTTCTCGTCACAGTCACATGTCTTGCTTGATGATAATGAAGATCGGAAGGTTTCATGGTAGATTGTATTAAGATTGACCGAACATTAAAGTAGAGGACAAAAGAGAATATATTCAAGCCGTCGTCCTACACAAGAGTGTAGTAGATGATGAAGAGGTGAGAACGATTTTCAGTACGAAGATTGAAAACCCTTCAAAGATAGAAAGTTGGTATAGCAAGGATATGATAAATGTCACAGGAAGAAATACTGAAATCTTTTACTCACTTAATAATAACCATAAGTCCTAACACTAGTCCCACCGAACCTAACACCTTTTTTACCTCTTCCATTACCATAATAACCTCCTCCACCACCACCACCACCGTAATAAACAGGAGGAGCGGATTTATATTTTCTAGGTGAACGTGAACCCATGTTACCTGCGTAAGGTGGCGGAGCGTATGATGTAGAATAAGAAGGTCTGTAGGTTGATGAAGAAGGACGAGAAGAACAGAATAGTGAAGAGAAGAAACCTCCTAGTTTTGTTAGTTTTTTCTTGTACTTTTCTCACTTTTCTTCTTATGTAGCTTTTAGATCCAGATTACTCAGTGTATTTTCGTAGATAACAATGGATGTAGCGGTATTGACTGTGAGTGTGAGGGTTGGTGATGGGTGGCAAATCCCATCAAGAAATTCCAGCAACGGCAGAACCGTCCCTTGACACAAGGGAGATACGAGTGGTGGTCATAAAGGTATACACAATTGGAGATAGTTGAGAGAAGTTGAATGGGAGGGGGGAGGGGGGAGGGGAAGGGGAAGGGTAGAGAGGAAGGAAGTGAAGAATATCAAAAGACCCACCTGATCGTCTTTGAGGATAGTTATAAGTAGGTGTGTAATAAGACATGGTTACTAACATATCAGCATTCCCTTATCATACCTCGTGTGAACAACGTTTTCCCATTCATCTCATTCCATATCTACTACTCATCACCACGTTTGACCAGATATGTCCGATCCCTGATCAGCTGACATGTTATAAAGTGAAAATGTGGAATATGGTATAATATAAATGCCTCGTGTTCTTCTTTCCTTCCCATCTCCCATCAATGTGTCCCCGTGTAAAAGTAAGTCCTTCAGCCCGTGGTTTATCTTTCCTATCACCAACATGACACATTGATAATCTGAGAACTGAGACTCTTCTTAAAAGACACTCACCTAGTTGGGAGTTCTTGTAAAACTTGAGAGTGAAGATGAGATATGAATGTGAAGTAGTTGTAGTTGTAGTTGTTTGTCGTTGAGTGGCGATGGTAGTCAAGTTTTTAAACACCCCTTTTATCCAACTTTGCCCTCTTGACTTCTCGTAGTTTAACGTCGAAAAATGACCGCATAGCATCGCCTCGGATCTATATCCCTGTATATCCGTTTGTACTTCAAGGTACTTTCCATCAAAGGATCCTCGGAGTATGTCCCCGTGAGACCGCGATGATTCTTTTGTACCCCCTTACTATGTCGTCCGTCGTTCGCTGTAGCTGTACAGCCCCGTCTCGGATAATCAGCTGTTGAAGAGGCCAAGATCCGAGCAAGACATGTCCGATGGGCACGGGGGTGGAACCTTGGCAACTGCCGGCTTGGGCTGTGTATTTTTGATGTCTTGATGGGAGAGTGGGTGAGTGGGAACCGAAGGGATTTCATTGGTCGACGATCTACTCTTTCGCTTAAACTTGAAGCGGGATGTTACCGACGACGAACCATGACAGTGTACAGTTCTCAACAATCGATGACGAGCAAACGATAGTCAAGCGTCCGATGAAGAGGTGAGAGCAGGGCTGTAGAAAGGAAGAGTAAAACTGATTGGGTACTCGCCCAAGGGGGAAGAAGGACAAGAAGGAAAACATAGCAAACTTAAGGTGGACAACCTCCACTTTTCATGTCCACCCTTACATCTAACCTACTTGTTACTATATCACTCAGAATAATCATGTGAACTGTACGTACCACCTTCACAGCCTAGATCACCATCTTCACACACTAGCTACTTGGGGTATGAACCATCACACTGACAATACAGACTACTTTGATGGTCAACTCACACACATCGAATCTCCTAGATCCCTCCTTTTCGTCCGATTCGAACATCAATATCAGACCTATCGTTTCATCGTACAATATACTATCCATCGACTCGAGGGTTTCGAAATACGTCGAGCGATGAAGATGCTCAAAGCAAACTTTGGAGGATATGAAACGCGACCATGACCACAACAATGATCTTCAAACATCTACTTGTCGAGATGTTATAGATCAAGGGGAACACCTCGAATTCATAAGCTAATCCTTCGGGTGACCAAACTTTGTCCGTCTGGCCGACTTACCGAAGTGGTTCCTCAGGGGTTAGACGATCGATCATGAGAAAAAATGGATGGACCGATGCAGAGATGAAATAGAGATGTCACATGAAGGTAAGATACCTCTTTTTCATTCTCACCCGAGAGAGATATGGCTCATGAGTGTGTGCATATGACTCATCTGCTAGAGCCAAAACTCGTCCTCATCTTCATTCACTCACTACGAATCGCTCTCGGCGTCCACCAATGAATAATCATCAGACACAATTGACCCGTCAAACACGGAAACAACCTCCCAGTCGTCGTCCCTTTCTCCAATGTGACTACCATCGCCGCGTGGGTCCGCTGCAGGGACAACAGAGAGATGCCGCATATCTCGAGTGGGTTTCCAATTGCCATCATCGTCGAAAAACCTGCCGAACGATGTAGTAACCGACTCGTCCACTCTTCGACTATCTGCCGACTTTCTAATTTCTTCCAAGATGCTTTCAAAAGTATCTTTAGGAGTTTTCGTGTACGTGTCCGATTGACGTTGCTGTACAATGACTCGAACGAGATTCCTCACCCCTAAGATGGCGAGACCCACTGCCGCCGTGGTCGGATTAGGCAGGTAGAGCTTCCGCTCCGTTTCGGAACCCGGCATTTTCCCTGCCAACACGATCGAGGTGCCCGCCGAAATCTGTCTGACCTCCTTAAACTGCCCATTGGGGCCTATACTACTGAAGACGAGTGTAGTCAATGCGAGGGCACAAACGGCCATGTCTATCTAGTAAGCTTTATCACTCAAGTTCCCTTCAGGAGTCAAATCGCACCGAGAAGAACGGAACTTAGGGAGGAAATGGATCAGATGGGAAGCTGAAACTGTCACAAGGTCCGTCAGAATGTCATTGTTGACTTACTCCTTGTCAGCAATGGTAGATCGAGGCGATATTGGCTTTCTACCATTTTGGACACTTCCTGTCCATTGCTGTCGAGCAGACGGAGGCTATAAGGATATTTTGGGTCCCATTTGTCAAAGATGATTTCAAGGCCTTCCAAAGAATTCCATCTCTCAGCACTGATGTTGTTGGCAGAAAGGACGCTTTCAGGTGAGCGCTCTTCGGACATAACAATTGGCTCCATTCTAGTTCTGGTTCTGTTACTGAGCGTGAGGCTGATGAACAGGAAAGAACCAAAATCAAAAGACAGATTTTTGGTGTTTGATTACGTCTCAAATTGATACTTGTTGATCCTGATATCTATGAGTCGGTGGTCTCTTGTATGATCCACTGAGTGGCAAGAAGGTTAGTGGGGGAGTTGGTTGAGAATCAGTCTTTGACCAACTAGGGTTCTAATACTTTCACAAGAAATGAACTCCGGATAAGAATAAAGGAAACGCGTCGTCATGAATGACGGTATGACCGAGAGAAATCGAGTGGAGTACAATGATAAATCTTGGTCATAAATGACGGTATGACCGAGAGAAGACAAGTGGGGTACAATGATAAGTCTTATAAATGAGCTCATGAGGAAGGCGTACAGGAGACAACGGAAGGATACGTTTTTATGGTGTTGGAGTTGTGTAAGTTGAATTTATTTTCCGAGTTGATAAATGATAAAGATGAGTGGAAAATCTCAACAAGAATCCGATACATCATTGGACGATTCGCTACGAGAAATATCTCTGGGGCATCTGGGAATCTAATATTAGACGGACGAGTCTACAGAACTGGTACGCCGTATCGACCATACCTTGAGATTTTCCCATGGTGAGCTACTTTCCTATCTCCGCTCCCCTCATCGCCGTCGGCTGGGCCGTCCACTTCCATATTTTGGTAGATAGATCGATCGTGATCGTGATCGTGACCGTAATCAGCATACAACATACCGCCAAAGACCCATCGGCTCTCAATATCGCCCACCTCACGTTCAGAGATCATTGGTGCAGGGATCGTGTCCTCCAAAGACAGGGCAAAGATTCCTTTTTTATCGACCCGGCCACCCCATTCCCCCCTTCCGTCAAACAGTGTCGATATCTGCTCCTGCGAAGATACTTCATCCGAACCGTTCTCACCATCAACCGCCGCCTTTGTTAACATTTCCTTAAAGAACTCATAGTCCTCTCGAGCGTTGTCCTCTGTCAATTCGGATCGTCACAATGGACAGTGTTACCGCTATTGCCTTCGGTAATGGGAGAGCGAAACTGACACTTTTTCCCCCCTCTCCTCTCTTTCCCTCAATGACGTCAAGCCCTCTCTTACAATGATCATTTGTTTCTTCTGAGGAATGTGGATTATCAGCCGTGTAGAATTTCAACTTGGCGTCCGTGATTGACTCATGATCGAACGAGGCAGAACAGTAGAGGAGTCTAACGACTTCCCTGGCAAAAAGTGGGACCATCGTATTGGCTACATATCTCATCAGCACCTACCTTTGTTCAAGAGGGATGAATCGATGGTTCAGAAGCAGAAACTCTCTTTTTCGACAAAATCGTGAATGGCCAAGACACGACGAACAAGTCAAGACATAGAATCTTACAGCAGGGATGGATCATTCGACAACTCACGTAATTTCCCGGTCGTTTCAGAGATTCGTGCAAATTTAGGGAAGTGGTAGACAAATGTCTTCATGCTACCATCGGGCGTTGCTGATATCACCTTGTATGGATGTTTCGGCGTCCAGTGTTTGATGTTAACCGCCAGTCCCTTGAAAGAACCTCCTGCCAGCATGTCTCCCAAGAAGGGCATAGGTGTGCTACCCCCCGTGGATGGATCCTGGAAATGAGAAGTTGGCATACTTCCCTGGTGTTGTGTGGCCATTTTGTCAGTGGATCTACTACCTTCAGATAGGAGATGAGGCAAGGGGAGATTCGTTCCGTTCTACTAGGATCTCACTACGATTGTTCTAGAACACCTAGGTATAATCCTGGTTGGTGGCGAAGAAATTGGGAATTGAGGGTTTCCTAGCTGACCGAGTAGGAGTCATATTCTCAGGAAAGCCAAAAACCGAACTCCGCAAGAGACAAGGGACGGGGAAAGGGGAAAGAGGTTGTCAGGCCTATCTGAAAGGTTGACCTAGTGAAGGAAGTCTGTCAAGTAGAAAGGAGAGAAGTGAACTCGGATCTTGGGAGGGCGCGAAGAATGAAAAGGTGTCCAGCCGAAACGATGAAACCTGCTCGGTTCGCATGATCCTAGCCGATTGAACAACCAGTGAGAACTAGTCGGAACACAATCGCATCACTGTTCCCTTCCCATTCCGAGAAGAGCCTACTTGGGAGGTACAATAAGATGAATGCTGATCGAAAGAACATTCCACCGAGATACTGGTCAACATCACGAAAATGGGAATAGACCGTCAACGCTACCCCCTCATGTCCTTTGTCATGGCTTTGAGTCATATTCCACCGCCATAACCACTGTCCTTCTCATCGTCCGAGCCTCCCTCGACCACATCATCGTCGGGCAAGTCGTCCACTCCCGTGTGAGGATCAGACAACGCAAAGAGCCATTTGATATCATCTTGACCGGTTGGAATATCATGCAGCTCATCCCCGTCCACGTTCTCGGCACACAATACCGATACATACTGCTCTTTGTCCTCGTCCCACACTTCCTGTCTTTCCTCATTCAGCTGGCTCAAAATTCGCAAGTAAGTCTCTTTCGGATCCAAGTCCAGTCCACTTGACAAATCCTCCATCATTGTTTTGACCAATTGCCCAGTTTCTCTGTGTTTCAATGTGGTGGCCACTGCCATCGGATCAGGTAGAACGAAACGAACTTTTTCTTCATCTCTGATCCCTGGGATTATCCAACAAGATTCCATTTCTTCTTGTGGACGACTGGTGTCGGTGGACGATAACACGACTTTGAACATCTTGGCGTGGGTCATAGGTTCAGAAACAGAAGGAAGACTAAGAAGCACCCTTACCGTATCGCTAGCACATTTGGCATTGGCTAATGTCATGTCAGCTTGAACACCGTATTGATTACTGACAATCCAATTTCGCTCATCTATCCCAATGAACAGATGCTGATCAGGGTATACTTCACTTTGTGTGTTGTACGATAGAAAAAAAGAGGACGACAAGATATAGATGAAGAGGACGAAGATGTAGACAAGAGGATGATAATCGCTCACTCACTCAAGATTTGGTTTGTTTGAGGGACTTTGGGGAGGCGACGAAAAGAAGTAAGCGTTCCATCTGGCAAACCGATCCAAATGAGATACGTAATCCCATGACTCTCGTCAAGTTCAAGACCTGTCACGGTAAGATCTCCAGCGTCTGAATGAAAGAGAAGATGGATGGCTTCATTCTTGACCGATTCGTCAGGTTCATCTACGCTCATTGTGGTCAAAGTCAGAAGGGAAGGGTTCATATAGGGTAGAAGGACAATGGGTGTCCCGTGAGTCTGCTCAGTTGACAAATCAAATGGGTTGATGGAATGTACGATCTATTATTCTATCAATCAAGGAAGATTCAGGATGATTGACACATACTCACTCTTCAAGAAGCTAAGTTCTTATGGTCTCACGGTCTAACCCAGTCAAACCCCGATGAAAAGAAGGGTGTGATTTCGTACTACCATGGCCGTACGGGGCAGGAAGAGGTTTGCTCGAGTGATAATGGAGTGGTCAGGCCAGATCATATGATTGTGGTCAGGAGAAGAGAATGGCGAGAAATCTCGATGGGTCGAGATCGACAAAGCAGTGTACCTGCTTCAAATGCTAATTTATGATACAGGGCTTGTCACCCGGTCATGACACACAAGCTTCACTTCTGCCTCACACTTCAATTCTACTTACCTTATCCTATATTTACTTCTTGTTAAGTCTAACAACAAAACCAATTCAATACTCAGCTATTAGAAACCACTGTATTCTCCTCTGCACCTTCCTCACTTATGGATTCACTTGAATCATCTGATTCTTCTCCCTCTGGTCTGACATGTTTCAAAATAGTTCCGAAAGTAACCAACAACTCCTCTCTCTTTGGCTTCTCCCATCTTGGACCGTCGCTCGTAAAAGAATTACGTTGCATCTCCTCGTAGAACTCCTGGAGGTCAGTGAAAGTCAGAGCCAAAGATGCCGCTTCTTCCTGATCATCGTCAAAATGGAAATCATACAAAGCTTTGGCGGCCATGGCTTGTGCAAGCTCATGGTTCACTGTTCATTCAGCTCACCTTCACATAGAGGTAGGAAGCGAGTATTTGATGACAGATCCAAATGAACGTGAAAAATGTTTGACTTACACTTCCGAAGCACATCCACTGACAAGGAAAACAATTCCTGCCAATCCTCGCTGAAACCCTCTCGGAGACCTTCTGTTTCACCTTGTCCGGTCGCCACCCCGATAGACTTGTTAGACTCAGTATCTCCATGAGACCGCCCCTCATGGAATGCTTTCAACAGCTGAGTGAACACTTTTTGAGGTCTCGTCCATGATCCACTATTTAACTCTTCCTCAATTTGTTTGTACTTTGCACAAACATTAGGGCATGTGAGACCCTGATTCACCGCCTCTGGATCAGGTAGGTAGAAGCGGAAGTGTGTCTCACGACTGGGCATCTTTCCAAGGATACACAGCTTTGTGCTTGTTGATGGCATCCTATTATGCAAGACCCCTCTTACCAGCCATGCATCTTGAAGGTGACGAGACAGGGACGGTCCACTGTATAACAATCGGGTTAATTCTCTTGCGCATACTACGTCGGCTGTGATGTTAACAAACATAGTGATCACCATTTCTCAAGGGCAAACTGTACAAGTACAATGGCATGTTTCTCATTTGATCCAAAGTGAGTGAAGTAGTTAGGCAATACAAGTAGAAAGAATAATGTGAAACATGATCAACTCACAATGTGACGGTTTGTCTGGTTGGTCTGATATGTATATATTGAATAAGAATGTCTGCTGATTGGAAGAAACAACGGACATACAATATGCGACAGACTTTTTTGAGGACCTTTCGAGATATTGTACAGTATAGTCATGAGTAAGCGTACCATTCATGAAAGGCGCAAACGATGCCGCAAGTTCCTCGTCTTCCATGCCTTGGTTGGATTGTGATGATTGCAATTCATGAGGCGAGAGAAATGCCTGACCCGGATCCTCACGGCCGACGCGAAATTTCCTTTTGAACTTTGCCAACATGCTTGCAAGCCCGCGACTGAAAGCCGTCTCCGGCTCTTGCGTGTTGGTCCCAGGGTTGAATGAATGGTTCATACGATCAGTGAAGTGGGTGATCAAGGACTTGATTTTATTTCTGGTGTCAAAAGGGAGGAGAAACAACACGAATGTTACGGCGTTGTTTGGTGGCGATCAAATCTGTTGAGGGGGAAGGGAGAAAGTGTAACCTGGCTTATTTAGTAAGTGTGGGTGTTTTCCTTCAAGGTGCGGAGTTGTCAAAAAGGTTTCAAAAGGAAGGTAGGTAATAAACAATGGAGGGTTGGGGAGGGTGGAAGAAGAGAAGCGAAGAAGACAATGGATCACGGTCATTGCTGTGCTAGTTTGTGTCATGGTGGAGTTGGGTGTCATGGTGAAGATGCAGGAGCATCAATGGAGGGGTTGGGGTAGAGGGAGAGAGGTAGAGAAAATAATGGATCACGATGGTTTGCGTCATTACGGAGTTGAGAATCATGACAAAGGCGCGGTAGAAAGAAGGAAGGGAGAAAAGAAGTGAGGACTTGAGGGGTGTCAAGAGACAAAGAGGTGAAGAGCACTACTGTAAAGACAACAAATTGAGATGGTTGCGAGTTCATTTGTCCTCATCACTGTGTCAGGAATCAAGGTCAAGGTGAAGGACTCTGTGTGTCAGTACATGGGGGTTACAATACAGACAGCATGTCAGGTAGTCGATTGATCGAGTCAGTACGTGCGCGCTAGTGAAAATCCGTACATGGATGGGCATGGTTGAGTTTTGGGAATACAACACAATGTAACATATACTACTCTGTCATGAACTCAGAGTGGCTCTGCCACACTGCCACAGTTGAACACATGCAAGATGCATGATGTGGGTTTTGTTATCACTCAGGCACCACCTCCACATACCTCCACCTTCCTGAAGGAGTAATTGCAGTGCATGCTTAATCAGCATTGCAAATCACCACATGCCTCCACATGCCTCCACCTTCCTGAAGTAGTAATTGTAGTGCATGCTTAATCAGCATTGCAAATCACCATAGCAGTATTGCCAATCCCCAACCAAGGATTGCAAATAAGGACTCAAGGATTGCCAATAGGACTTAGGGATTGCAAATACTAGTTTATCAGTTTAGTCAGATTGCAAATTATAGTTTAGCAGTTTAGTCAGTTTGAAGGGTATAAAAGGAGCACATCTCCCCCCTCTTTCTTCAGCAATGTATCTTCATCTTGAAGTTGAACTTCATCTTTGAAAGTCACCTAGTTGGTTCTAACCCAACACCTCAGTACCCCCAGTACCTAAGGCAGTCATCAAGCTCTACGAGCCAGAGACTAAAACCCTTCAGTACCCAAGGCAGTACTTTGCAACCGCAGTCTACCCACAGGCGTGACATACTCCTACTGAACCTCAAATGGTTGGTTTGTGTCACGGTCCTGTCCTTGACAGACCTCGATGAATCAAAGACAGGTGGACTGCAACTGTTTAGTTAGCTTGGACAACGATGGTTAGTAGACTTGGGATATGGTCGGACGACTAAGTGACTTGCAAAGGATCCGGGCAGGTCGAGATGACGATAAGGGTGTATGTGATAGTGTGGACAGGGTGTGTGTGTTGGATTGTAAGTAATATGTCAAGAAGAGGTCTTTTGTGAGTGGCAAATAATATTTTGATCCTTGAGAAAAGGAAAGCTACAAACTACAAATGGCCTCCTTATATCCTTTTCTGAGGGATTTGTGACGCGCAAACTCGTTGTATGAATTCAGAATCATCTGGGTTGATATCATGTGGATTCACACTGATATCATGTGGATTCATCCCGGAATCAGGTGAATCCATGCGGTCTCGTATGAACTCTGGTGAGTTCATGACGGTTTCACACGATATTCAGGTGATTTCTGACTGAACTCATATGGGTTCAGGTGTATTCATGGTGAACTCATATCATATCATGGTGAACTCATGCAGTATCATGGTGAACTCATACGTCATCATGATGAACTCGTATGATATCATGGTGATTTCACATGTACTGATATGAACTCATTGGAATTCATATTGAAGTCGTATGAATTCAGTTGGAATGTGTTGATATCACGTGAACTCAGGCACACTCGGTAGAGTTGTGACAGTTTGTGTTGAAATTCACAATCTAGTATGGATTCATAAGATCTTAGAGAACTATCTAGAAGAACGATCTAGATATATATCATACAGGGGATACGTAGTCTTTAGTCATCTTTCCCACGCTCTAACTCCTAATAACACCGCAGTGTGGCGGGTCACCATTCAACACCCCCCTTGACACGATCACACTGCACGTTTACACCATCCTGTCAATGTGCCACATTCACCGGTCCATCCATATTTCCATATTTCCTCGTTGATCCCTGAAAATTTTCACACGCTCCACATAAACAAACATCGCCCCGTCTCTTTTCTCTTTTACATCTCTACTCACCATCCTTCTGCATTTCCTTACTATTTCTCTCGTCTCAACAGCTGAGTATCGCCGCTCCTACTGGTACGGAAGGTCTCTTCTGATGAACTTGAGTTCAATTTCCACGCGTAACCTTCTTGTCGAGAGTCCTCCAGTTCACGCTGGACGGGCCAGGCGAGTTAACCTGTCGCCAAGTGTCCTCCAGTTCACGCTGGATGGGTCGGGTGATGGGGGTGATACGATCGACAAGCCTCTTCGCTGTTGTAGGATTATGAGATGAATATGGATGTGAGGTTATTGTGTGATTACTGAGACGTTCCTTGATAGGGATATGATGTTTACCAAGACGGTGAGTTGTGAGAGTTTCTTTCTTCGCTAGATGTCCCCACTTCTCCTCATACATCCTTTCCCTATCCTTTTCCTTTGGAGCTTGTACTGTGACATGTATTGACAATGACGTTCCGTCTTGTTCAATTGTTTTCTTGTGTGTCATGATGGTTGAGTGTGTCGTCAACTCGTCTTCTGTTGGACTGTTATCTTCTTCCACCTTCATGTGTGGACAATCATGACGATAGTGACCGCCCTCTCCACAGTTCCAACATCCTTTTTTACGTTCTTGTTTACGACCCTTCTTATTCTTTGTTCCCACTGCCATGAGAATTGTTCCGTACGTCACCACTGCAGCCGTGCCGCTTTCCGTGACTACTTTCTCTGGTCTAATCCCAATATTTTCTGCATGTCTCCAATGTACTGTTCCACCTACTGTTTTCGTAAAGATGTCTGCTTCTTGGAGTTCTGTCTCCACATATTCCAACTTGATCTTTTCTTGTTCCACATGATCACGGATGAAATGATATCGGAGATATATATGTTTACTGCTTTTATGATGACCGGGATTGTTTGAGAGAGCTATTGCTGACTGATTGTCGCAATGAATAAGAACAGGAAGGAATGTTTCTGTCTTGATTCCAAACTTGTTGAGAATACTGGGAACCCATGTTACGTCTTTGATTGTTTCTGTCAGAGCCATATACTCTGCTTCGGTCGTAGACAATGCTACACCTTTCTGTTTCACCGTTCCCCAACTGACTGTTGATCCGTAATATTTGACAACATATCCACTTGTTGATTTACGATCGTCTAGATCTCCAGCCCAGTCGGCATCACTCCATGCTTCCAATAACTTTGTCCCCCCTTTCCCACCTAATACCAATCCGTGGGTGCGTGTACCTTTGAGATACTTGAGGACATGGATTCCAGCATCCCACGCTGCTTCTGTGGGACCTGCACAATAGCGACTGAGTACGCCAACTGCATAAGCAAGGTCAGGTCGTGTGGTTATAGCTGTCCACATTAAGCTTCCAACTAGTTGTTGATAACGTGTAATACCTTCTTTGCAGGCTGGACCATTTGCTTGAAGCTTTGTTTTAGAATCAAAAGGAGTGATAACAGATCGTACATTGGTAAGACCATACTTTTCTAGTAGCGTATCAATATAAGCTGTCTGTGTAAGACATATTGTACGTTCTGAACGGTTTCTTGTAATCTTCAATCCTAACATGAATTGAGGTTCTCCAGCGTCGGTCATCTCCCACCTTTGAGAGAGTTCTTCTTTGATCAGATTGACCGTGTTGATATCTTCAGCTGCGATGAGGAGATCATCAACATATGCAATAATATATGCTTTCTTCTTTCCGGTGAAGCGGTACACACCCCAATCTTGAGCTGTACGACGGAATCCAAGCGTCTGCAGATGTTCATCCAACGCTTCCCACCATGTCCGTCCTGCTTGCTTCAATCCATATAACGCCTTGTGTAGTTTGACGCTATCACAACCTCTCTTCAATTGATATCCTGGCGGGCTTTGCATGAAGATTGGCTTATCAAGTTTACCATTCAAGAAAGCTGACACAACATCCATCTGACCTAGTTCTAAATCTTCTTGAGCATCAATGGTGAGGAATATACGAAGAGATGTGAGTCGAGCGACAGGGGAATAGGTTTCATCAAAGTCTTGACCAGGGATTTGAGAATATCCCTTTGCTACAACACGAGCTTTGTACTTGAGGATAGCACCATGTTGATCACGCTTGGTCTTGAATACCCACTTGCTTCCAACAAGAGTTCTCTCTGCTGGAGCAACCGTGTCCTCCCACGTCTCCGCTTTCTGAATGCTTCCTAATTCTGCATCCATAGCCTTCTTCCATTCCTTACTAATGGAGAGCGTATAGCTTCCTCGTATGTCTTTGGGTTGTTATCTAAGATACTTCCTTGTACTGTCAACACCCATCCCTCTTCTTGCTCGTCACTACTAATGAGCTGAGGTCCTTCAAGAAGTAGAATTCTTGGTTTTCTTTGACATGTTGATCTACGTGGTTCTATTGCTTGTTGTACAGGCAATTCTTGATCTTCTGTTTCTCCTGTTGCATCCTCGCTTGGATCTACAGGCTGTTGAGGTTCTTCTACTACAGATTGTTCTTTTTCTTGTACGTCTTCAGCTGGAGTAGATTCTGACGGGATAGGAGTAGTGGACTGGACTGGAGGTGTTGTTGATTCTGGGATGAGAGGAGGAGTACGAGTTGTTATTGTTTCAGGAGGGGGGATGTCGTCCTCAGCCTCCTCTGGCTGACCTATTGCCTGCCTCTCCGTACCACTTTCCTTCTCTACGGCACTTCCAGCATCCTTCTCCATGTCTACCACATTCTCCAACTGTGATCCCCCCTTCCTTGGGAAGACCACGTCTCTAGTATCTGTGAAACTGTCGGTGACAGGATTCCACACAATATATCCAGCTGAAGTAAACGGGAGACCTACAAGTCTACCTTTCCAAGCTTTTGGGAGAGTTAAGTCCGACTTTCCACCACGTACTTGGGATGGAATATGGACATAGACATCGGTGCCAAAGGGATGGAGATCTGCAAGGTTGGGTTTACGTCTGAAGAATCGTTCATAGACGGTGATGCCATCTTCTCCAACCCTACACCTATTTAGCATACCACTCGCATGAAAGAGTGCGTACTGCCAAAACTTCATTCCTAGTCCACTTTGACGTAGGAGTGCCCCAACCATCTCCTTTAGAGTACGGTTCATCCTTTCTGCAACTCCATTGAGTTGAGGTGTATACGGTGTTGTTATTTGATGGATGATCCCATTATCTCCAATAAATCTATCCCAAACTCCACCTGAAAATTCTAGACCGCCGTCGGTACGTATGATCTTGACTTTTGCTTTGGCAATGTTTTCTAATCTCTTGACAGCGAGTATCATACATTGTGTTGCTTCTCCCTTGTTCTGGAGAGCCATACAGACGACTAGTTTTGTGAAGTCGTCCACT